GTGTTTTCAATTCGTAATCACACTTGAATGATTGCTAAGAATTGTTTGTACTCACCTAATGAGGCATATAATAGCAGACCTCAAGCTAAAGCATGATCACTTATTGTGTTCCCATCTCAACGGAATGCTAACGAAATGAATTTAGAAAAAATTTCTGAGCGAGCAAATATATATAATAATTTTTGATCTTAATCCATTTGATCTCATCAAGAAACAAGAGCATCGAGTTACAGTTATAGTCTAGGAACTCGTGATAGCTGAAAAGCAGTGGGGCATAATATTGCCATGAACTAATATTGATAACGCATGTTTTATGGTTAGACTGAAAAATCAATTTGCAAAAGCTCAACGAATAATCTGACGATCAGCCGAAGCACTTACTATTGGATTGGTGAGTTTGAAGACAGAAATTGCGGTCAGTCATAGAGGAGAAGATAACGTTTCGGATGCAAAATTGCTCACTGAATTGTAGGAGCTGAGATCGGAAGCATTAGCTAGATCAATGGAAAAGAATTGGTGTCCAAAGGCCTATTCGGATTGAGCGAGAAGATCAGGTTTGGTCAGGGTTTGTATCCAGACATGAGCGAGCATCTAGACCACATTACCAACTCGAAATCATGCATGAACAGATGAAAGTAAAGCGGAGTGACCGGAACTTACCGTAGTGGTTGTAGGAGCTGAGGAGTGCTCCCCGTTCCGCAACATTTGGACAAGTCGGTAGAATTCTGCGTTTACTAAGCAAACCGTTGTGATGGTGTACGGACGCACCGTTTGAAAACCCTTCGAAACCTGTCGACGTAACCGACTTGCGAATCGGGGTTCTCGATTGCAAGTTACAGCAGCGAGCGTTCGAATCGCCCAGATCTCGGATATCACTTAATCCCATCCGCGGCCACAAAAACTGCTGCTTTTCGGTAGCCGAGTCGGATGTGAGAGCGCCGCCAACCAGGTTATTTGAATCATCTCGACGAGCAAGCCGAGAACGGTAACTCATATCCGTACCGTATCGCATCGCAGACGATTTAAGAGGTTCCACTGAATTCAGGGGTGATGACAGGTCAGCCGTACAGAACAAGGCTGAAGCAGACGAAGTCAGGGCGCTCAGCTCGATAATATTCGTTCGATGTCTGCGGGCACTAGGAGGTGTATCCAACAGTTTCGTAGTGAATTTATTCAGTGAGCTAGTAGAATCTGATTTGTGAATGCAATGAGCAGATTCCACTCGGCGTACTCTAGAGTACTCGAAAGTTGGCGAATTTCTAGAGCTGATAGTGACGACCCGAGTTGGTGACGGGTGTTCCAGCAGACCAGATGCAGACGAACTTCGTGACAGCGGCAACACCGGCCGAGACAGAAGAAACGCTCTAGTATCGAGATGCACACTTGAACGACGGACCAACTCTGTTGTGCTATCAACAGCAGCTAGATTAGGCAGATCCCCTNCAGAAAGCTGCTGTGTTTCAATTGAGTGGTCGTCCACTTTCAAGAGATTAGTGCTCTGCTCCGATAGAACAGACACAAGCGATGCTGCTGGACAAGGCTCAACCGCACTGCTTAAGTTTTCCTGGCTCAAGCATTCGTCAATCTCTCGGCTGTCGTGGGCTGCCACCGCACTGCCGTCGTCGGCTTGGCCTTCATTCAAGTGTTTTGTGTGGTTTTTATTCGAGTGAACATGCGAGTGTCTGTCATCTTTTTCGCTGTCATCATTTTGCTTAGCACATTCTGTTGTTATGCTCCTCTCAATGTTTGACGAGCCCATTAGAATGTTGGCTGAGGCGTGGCTCGGCAATGCTGCTGCTGCTGCTGGTGTTGGTGGTGATGATGTTGCTGTTGGTGCATATTCATTGGTACTTTGCAAGGGTAAGTGAGCTTTTTCTTCATTAAGTTTTTTATCGTGTTCTTTTAGGCCTTGCTGGCCTGCTTGATGCACTCTATCGTCTTCAGTCGATCGAGCAAATTGCCCTGTTTGTGCACTCGTCTGTAGCCTTTCGTCACCAAAATTTTCATCGCGTACACATTCGTCGCTGTGAGAATTGGAATTTGATGATATGGCACCACCACCAGACGGTACGTCAGGTTGTGGTTGGTTCGGCGGATTGCTCTTACTTCTAGTATTGCACTCAGGCAGCTCTTCTTGTCCTTCCAGCACCTGCTGCCCTTCCACATCTTTTAATG